TCTTTGTAAGATTGTTTAGGTTAGGTTTTCCTTTCCTATCTTCCGCAACAATCTTTTGTTTTTCTGTGTGTATTAATTCTTGATATAAATCAATAAGAATTAAAAAAGTTGAAAAAAATCTGTGTAATTGTATTCAACCCCCCCTTCTACAATTACTTTCTGCTTATTGCCTTGCCCTTCGGGACTAACAGTTCTCATTTGATTAGGCCCCTATATATATATATATATATATATATATATAGACTTGGGATCATGTGAGACCAAAGTTTTTCGTGAGATCTGTAAGACCAATTTATGTACATTGATCAACTTTATAAGCTAATGATCTAATTGTCTAAAGTTGCACGGTGACAATTTTGTGATTATGAATGTTCGAATTGTAGATTTAATCCAAAGGTTGAGAAATGGTCTTACGGGTCTCATGAAAAACCCTTGGTCTCATGAAGTCTATATATATATATATAGAGAGAGAGAGAGAGAGATGAAAGTTCAATTAGAAACCAATTTATATTGTGAACCAATGGATAAATCTTGATCATCCATCTTTATTTGATCCAACTCCCATTAAATATGATCTAATTAAAATGGTTAATTAATGTGATTAAGGTCAAAATAAAGTTTATTTTTTTGTTTCCACGGTTAACTATATGATTTTTATTTATTTTTTAATTAAAGTTTGTTACCCTTTAATTTTTAAACTATATTATTTTAAAAATTACTTAAATTTTAATCAAACAAATTATATCGAAAAAACGAACATTTCATTCTTTTCAATATGACATCTATCTCGATAATTTTTCTTTTGTTTCAACCGTTTTTTCCCGTGAAATGGTACATATGTGTAATATTTATTATGAATTCATGTATGTTCACGTGTATAAATTAACTCGACACCGTAAGCCCATAACTCGATACCACCTTCTTCAATACCGTCAGTATATAACGCAAAAACATTTTTTTCAATGTTGTAATTTGTAACATGGCACCACTTTCTTCATCACCGTAACCCAATGCCCATCCAGACTGATTGAAAACCATCGAGACGGATCAAGAAACTATCGAGACTAATCAAGAACTCATCTATTGATTTGGTGTATGTTTGTGTGTGTAAAACCAAACCTACCAACTTCTTTTTTCATCGAAAACCAATCGATTGATTTATTATGTGTTTATGTGTGTAAGATCATAAGCTACCACTTTAGCGTTTATCAAGACGAATCGAGAATCCATTGAGACGAATCGGGAGCCCATTGAGACCAATCGAGAACCCATCGGGACTCATTGAGACTAATCGAGAACCCATCAAGACCGACCGAGACCAATTGAGACGAATCAAAAACCCATTGATAACTCTCATTCTGAGCCTTATTTACATATCATTTACACGTGCTTTTCTTTTATTTTAGTTGTGTTTCCTGTTTACATGTTCGTGCTTTTTTTCTTTTTATTAGTTTATTTCAATTGGAGCTCTTGAGGATGTGTTTATAGTTATACGCATCATTTTTGAATTATATGTTGGACTACGGAATGTGTCTACTGTGTTACCACTGTGGTGGATAACGTAAATTTGAGGACAACTAAAAATATAATTTTACATGTATTATTTTACTTAGGGGCCGTTTACCCAATTGCTTACTGATAGGAATCAACACTATGATTTATTTTGATGTGTAACATTTTAGTATATCAAAACATATCGAATATAACAATTTACTGGGTAAGCGCTTACCTGGGTAAGGGTTGTCATCCTTACTTACCGGGTAAGACTTTCTATCCTTTTCATCGCTCTTATCCGGTAAGATTCTTGCCCCTTTTCATGTTCATTCGATGAAGAAATTTATCCGATAAGCATTTACCAAGTAAGTATTTAATAAACGACCTGTTATTTCAATTATAACATTGAAATCATTAAAGGTCAAAACTCTAAATTACATAGAAAATAAATTAAATAATAGATAATAAATTATTGACAACAACTAGCCA